ACCTCCGCCGTCAGAGCAAATGATATCGTTTCTCACATAATCTCCTCCGCCGTGTTGTAATTGTTTTCTCTTGATACAGACTTAAATTTGCAATATGGAAGATTTTCATGTCTGCATATCTGGCAACCCGAGTGCAGTACCACTTTTGGCCAGATTTTTACATACTGCTCCTTTAAAGTTGTTTTTAGAGATTAAATTTAGAAGTCATGTCTTTTTCTCAAAGTTTATTGCTTTGTTGATTTTTTTTTCTGAATCTGACGAATGCATATGATTGGTCGGCCATGCAGAACAGTGACTATTAGAGATTTAAAAGTATGTTTAGAACTGGATGTAGATTACAAAATAACATGTTAAAGGAGACATGTGTTGTTAAAACAGCAGGAGTTGAATCACTATGACGTCTTCTGCCTTTTAAAACTAAAGTAAAGCCTGTAAATAATTAATTTTGGCATTTTCTCAAGTGATATAGGAATAATAAATTGGTGTTAGATGCTACCTCTATGCTACCTCCCTCTGGTGGTAGCATAGGGAATTGCAGGCCGATTGCTTTTTTTTTTTTTTTTTACATCCTAAATCTTGAGACTAATTTACTACAATTGTCATTTTTGTGTCAGACCTGCAGGCCAAAGGCAAATCTGTCAGACGTATTACGCTAAGCAGGGCAGGGCCTGGTAGGCACTGTGATGGGAGACCTTTGGGAAAACCAAGTGCCACAATGGAGCGATTGTGGCTGTAAACCCTGATACATTGACTATTGTTTTATTACTAGGGTTATTATTATGTTATTAAGACTTTTCAAATTTGTATTGTACTTATTCTTTTTATTACTACTACTCTTGCTACCACTACTACTACTCCTACTACCACTACTACTGTACGACCACTGTTAATTATTTTTCTATTATTAACAATAATTAAGAGATTATTATTATTATTATTATTTTACCAACAGCTCTACATCACTAACAGATCGAGTCCAGTTTCTTTCACAGTTGTGTCTGAGTCTCCACATCGCACCTGTGGGACTTGTTGCACCATCAAAGTTGTTTTAATGTTCCACTTCCAACAAGATGTCACTCCAGAAAAGGTCTTCAACTCTATTTGTCTGACACCGGAACAAAAGCACCGCACCCCCAACAACACAAACCCCACAAACAACACAAACACCACATCGACAACACACTCTGAGCTTTTGTTTCCGTCCCCCGTTGTTCCGGGGTCGAGGCCTCGCTGGTAGTTTCCTTCAAAAAGAGGAAGAGAGAAGGAGAAAAACAAGGAAAATCAAAGGCGATGTGTTGCTGTTCACATGAATCTTAAAAACAAACCTGCGCAACACTTGGAAAACTCCGGAACGAGGCCAGAGGTGGAACAAGCCAGTTTTCATCCACAGAATCTAATTTGTAGATTAGTTGCGGTAAGTTTTGGTCAAGGGTAGATTTATGTCAGTTTTACAGCGATCGGCCTCTTGTCTGCGTCTCTGTGGAATGTTCTACACTTTTGTCAATAGTGATAATAATTCATCAAACTTATATGGCACGTTTTTGGACGCTCAAAGACGTTTACAGAGACAAAAACTAAACATAGAAGAGCATAAGTGGAAACAAGTTGGTTTAGAGAAGTCAGTTAAAGTTTTATAGTGAGTCGGAGTTTCTGATTGGTTGAGGGAATGAGTTAGTTTTACAGCCTCTAAAACTTGTTAGTTTATGCCAGTTTTACAGCAATTGGCCTCTTGTCTGCGTCTCTGTGGAATGTTTCAACACTATTGTCAAGGCAGTTACTCTTTAAAAACATGTATTATACAAGTCAGGCGTCTCCAACCTTTTTCAGTCGGAGAGCCGCTTTTATACAAACGAAGAGGCAGAGAGCTATTTTTGCAGTCGTAATAAAAATCAATTTAATGATTACGATGAAAAATCATGAAAAAATGGAGAACACATGTAAAATATACTATAATACTGTATAACCCCATATTTATACTTATAATTGATTTGTTATGGCTCAAAATGCATTTTACTTTTGTTAATTCTAATTCTTTTGGCGAGCTACTTGAAGGGGGCCGGCGAGCTTCTGATAGCTCCCGAGCTACAGGTTGGAGACCCAGAATGCATCCTGGTACAAAACACATACAGTACTGCAGCTCGTTCAAGGCAATAGATATAATTCAAATATACAGTAGTTCAGAGATATTAGGATTTCTAAAATAGTTTTCCAGCCTCTAAATCTTGTTATTGTTTTCATTTCGATGTCCCGCCCTCCACCATTTCACTGATCAGAAAGTCTGAACTGGGTTGCCAGAACTCACCGCGTAGAGCTAATCTCACTGGTAAAGTACCATGTGGCGCAGAACTATAAAAGGTCTCGTTATGATTCTCAAATCATTAACGACAAAAGAAGGAATAAAACCAGGATTTCTATCTTTGTGAAAAAGGTGTTGGTTATAGATTTGTTGTTGACTAAACTCTTGTCTATTCAGCTGTTATGGTCCCAGCTGGATTCGTCTGCATATCTGGCAACCTGAGTCAGGGAGAGTGGGAGAGGCTGCAGTACCACTTTTGGCCACATGTTTACACACTGCTCCTTTAACTGTAACATTTTGTTTTTCTAATGATTGTAAAAACTTGTTTTTCTTTCAGAATACTCATAAATATATCAAAAAGACTATTTTGTCTTTATTAAAAACCCGATGTGAGATTTCAAAGTTATAAATAAAGAACAAGATTTTAGTGAATGACGTCCAGAATCAAACTCCACTTTAATTTCGTGGCTCAAATATTGACCGTCTCTTTGTTCTTCGTCTGGATTTTAATTGCACTGTCGTCGTCTGAACAATAAACTAAACTGATTATAGGAGAAAAAACACCGAGTCGTGCACAACAAGTCTTCGGATTAGGATCGGACACATTAAAGCGGAAAAGGAGAAGCTAATTCCACAAACGCTGTTAAAAGTGAAATAGGTTTGAAGCAGAGATAAGAAGTCGCCGGTTTGTGTAACGACTCTTTTGCATTTTGTGGAAGTTGTAAAAGGACACATTTTGCAAAACTGCTTTGTTTTAAAGATCAAATAATGTGTTTTCTGAAAGATAAATTCTAACTTCCAAAACGCTCTTTGTCACGCTCTCTCTCTCTGCCCGAGAAGAGAATTAAAAGAGTTCCTCCAAGAAACTAAGAATAACCGTCTGATGTCAGCCTGAGACCGGGACCAAACCACATTGTTTTCTGATGAAGTGAATTGATTGCGTTGCGTAAGCAGACGGCTAAACTCGCTACATGTAATTAGCCTCGGAGCAGCATGCGCGGTAATTGCGAGCTAAATGTGCCCAATCCGCTTCTCCGGTTCTTTTAAGCTTCGGGATTATAGCTCATTATAGCAAGGGTCGGCTGCAAGGTAAGGCAGCCCAGGAACGTCGCGGCCTTTAGCTTCACAGTTTATCCAAAAGGAATGACCCGTGGCACAGACAGACAGAGACAGACAGACAGGCACAGACACAGACAGAGACAGACAGACACAGACATAGAGACAGACAGACAGAGACATAGACAGACAGAGGCAGACGGAGACTGATGGAGACAGACAGACACAGACAGACGGAGACATACAGACAGACAGAGAGACAAGCAGGCACAGATAGAGACAGACAGACAGAAAAGCACAGACAGACACAGACATAGAGACAGACAGACACAGTTAGAGAGACAGACTCAGACAGACATAGACAGACAGACACAGAGAGACAGACACAGACAGAGACATAGAGACAGACAGACACAGATAGAGAGACAGACTCAGACAGACATAGACAGACAGACACAGATAGAGAGACAGACTCAGACAGACATACAGTAGACAGACAGACACAGAGAGACAGACAGAGACAGAGACATAGAGACAGACAGGCACGGACAGACAGGCACACAGACAGAAACACACAGACACAGACGATGCATCAATCCACAGGATGTGTCCAAATGTGTTTATATTGCTAAAGCCAAAGGGAAAGGACAAAAAAACAGACATGTCCAAACTCAGGCCCACGAGCCGAGTGCGGCCCTCTGTGCTGCTGTACGTGGAGCACCAGCGGAGGGACATGTAAACACAATATAAGATGGATACTTTATCGATCGCTGAAGGAGGAAAGGAGGAATCCAGTAGCAGCAAAAACACATCCATCTGAACTAACAAAACTAATACATAGATAATTCTAAAAAGCTAACACTAGCAATAATAAAATACAGCAGCACTTTAGGCCACAGCAGCAGAGGTGGTCCAAAGTGAAATGCTTCATTAGCATTTAGCATAAGTTAGCATTCCTCCAGTGGATTGTCACCTGATCTGCCTGGTTATTTGTCTGTTTTATTAGTGTTTTTTCTGTACTTTTAATGTTTTATGTCTGTATTTGTCTGTGCACACCGGAGACTTTTGCTAAAGTATTCCAATGGGGTGTTTTTACTGCAAATGGCAATAAAATGAATGTGAATCTGAATCTGGTTCGGACCATGCTGCTGTGGTCTGGACACGTGTAAAACCATGAACACTGAACTGCAGCAACATCTCAGGTAGAAAAAAGCAAGAAAAATAACAATTTTAAAACACAAAACAACTGTTTCGGAGACGCTTCGGACTCGCTGCAGTTTCCAGAAGATTTAGTTCATTGTCTGCTATTGACGGGCTGATTTCTGTCAAACATCTCTCTTCGACTGGGGATTACAGGAGAAGAAAACAAGATAGAAACAAATGTATTTTTGCTGATGAAAGTAGACAGTCCAGTCTTTCAGAATCTGGTTTCATATTTCTCATAGTCAAAGCGCACAATATTCTGTGGGTGTTGAAAGTCAGTGAAATCATCAAAAACGGCCGGAAGTCACTGAGTTAAAAGTAAAATTGAGGAGAGGAGGAAGCTGGGTGTGGTCCTTATTGTTCTGAATGGGAGATGATACGTAAAAACACAAAAAACAATTATCAAAAACACCACGGTCCTCACCCTCAGTCGTTCAGAATTCTCTCATCCAACCACAACCAAAGATTCTTCACACAGTTCTCGGTCTAAAGTGTCTTGTTGAATGTTATCTGGACGGTTCATATCCTGGAAGTCCACACGGGGCGTCCCACAGCTGTCACCAGGGGGCAGTAGCGAGTCTCTGCCCCCGCCCCGTCCAAGGACACTCAGTGGAAGTGGGACGGGACGGACTGTGCTCTCTCTGACGGCTGCACGACGAAAAACATGTGTCATCGTTTCAGGCAAAAACGACTTTCACGGTTTCAAAATGTCATTGTCATTCCCCTCGAAGTGCAAAGCGGGACACGTGTGCTTGCATTTTAGAGGGGGGGGGGGTCAGAAATATAATGGACTGCACCATCCTAGGTTTAATAACTGAGGGTTTGGGAGAGCCGGACACTACAGGGCTGTTGCAGGTTGAGGTCGGATTTAATTTCTATCAATAGTTACTTTGACCATACTAGAAAAAAAAAAAAACTTATTTTATATAGGATGGCTGAGGCGTGCTCAGGACTGAAGCAAATCATGGGAGGAAAAGTCAGATCACTTTTGTGTTTATAAAAAAAAGATTTAGGTCAGATTTACTTACAGCCTGATTAGAGATAGAGAGAGAGGGGAGAGAGAGAGAGAGAGCGACATAGATAGATCGATATAGATGAATAGATAGAGAGGGAGAGAGAGAGACATAGATAGATCGATATAGATGAATAGATAGAGAGGGAGGGAGAGAGACATAGATAGATCGATATAGATGAATAGATTCAAAGAGAGAGAGGGGGAGAGAGAGAAACGTAGAGACATAAATAGATTAATACAGATTAATAGATACAGATAGACAGACAGACAGAGAGAGAGGGAGACATAGATAGATTGATATAGATTAATAGATACAGAGAGACAGAGAGACAGACAGAGAGACACAGACAGACAGAGAGATACTTTGTCCTTTTTTCTACACACTACATTTGATTCTTTGTGACGGTGCAAACTCACCCGGTGCTGTCTCCTCTGAGCAGCTTCGTTCTGAATCTAAACAGTGCCACCTGCTGGCCGTCCGGAGCACTGCACGCATCTGCAAAGAGAAATTAGGCCACCCCTCACACACACCGTTAGCTGCACTGAATTATGATTTGTCATGTTTGGAAACGCTCTCGTTTGGGCTCCAACGCCTCGTGTGGATTTGCATGTTCTGCTAATGCACGGGGGATATATGAGTGGGTATTTAAACATGCAGATTCAGACTATTTTTGTTGTCATGAGTCCACGACATCCCTCCATCACTGTCCCCAGAGAGTTCACCGCAGCCTGTATCTTTCTGGGGATTTTTGTTTCTTCTTCCTTTCGTTATTCCGAACACAGCGTCTCGACCGGAGGAGTCAAATCCCCCGGGGCCCCTGTCTGCTAGAGCAAGGAGACCGCAATACAAACAGCTATAACTATTGCTTTTCGAATGGACCAAAGTGGGCCAGTGTGTGCCCCGGGACGGCTGCGGCGGAGGTCAGTGGTTCAACTCCAGGGAGCAAATGTTATGACTAAGGAGGCGTCTTTTAGAGTGTGCACATAGACAAGACAGCGCCCTTGAGCCAAGCACTGCGTCACCGTTTCAAGTGTCAATGCCACGGAAGGCAAGGTCGAGGCAGGCTGCGTGGGCGACGACCTAATGTTGATATCGTGTTGGGAGGTAAAAGAATTCCCTCAAGAGATTCAGACTTGAAAGACCTCGGATTTCAACTTGATTCTGGTTGTTACAAAAAAGCACAGCAGGTCAAAGAGTTTCTGTACAGGGCTAGGACTGCGATTTGTGTGAGGTATATGTGGGTTTTATAAACAGAATCCAGAGAGAGTGAGAGAGTGAGTGAGTGAGTGAGTGAGTGAGTGAGTGAGTGAGTGAGTGAGTGAGTGAGTGAGTGAGTGAGTGAGTGAGTGAGTGAGTGAGTGAGTGAGTGAGTGAGTGAGTGAGTGAGTGAGTGAGTGAGTGAGAGAGAGAGAGAGAGAGAGAGAGAGAGAGAGAGAGAGAGAGAGACCAGAGAGAAAGAGCAGAGACCAGAGAGAGAGCTGAGAGAGACCAGAGAGAGACCGAGAGACCAGACAGAGCAGAGAGAGAGAGAGACCAGAGAGACCACACAGAGACCAGAGCGAGAGAGACCAAAGAGAGAGAGACTGGAGAGAGCAGAGGGAGAGAGAGAGAGCAGAGAGAGAGCAGAGAGAGACCAGAGCGAGAGAGACCAGAGAGAGACCAGAGAGAGAGAGACCAGAGAGAGAGAGACCAGAGAGCCTGTGTTCGCTAAGGCATACGTAGGTTTTATGAATAGAATCCTGTCAGAATTAAGGTCGGGACAAACACAAACCAAACTTCTTTCACTGAGGCCTGAGTTTTGAGAAAAACTTCCTGTAATGTTTTAAAATCTCTCAAATACTTTAACTTTAAACCTAAACCTAAAAACAAAAACACAGTATGTTAGAGACACAGTAAGACCCTTTCAACAGCTCTAGAATGTCGCTTTCTCGGCTGCATTTGGCTCGAGGGCCACAGGTTGATCTTTACTCAAACGACAATATTTATACAATTAAATCACACAGATTTTATGAAAGTTTTCAATGTGTATGAATTCATTCTAATGACATTATGCTCATTTTAATAATTGTATATTGAGTCATATTTTTAATTTTTTCCCCTCCTATGCATGTTAGCAATACTGAGCTATAATGGACAAGAGGTGACCCACTTTTTAACGTGAAATGACTGAAATGAAAAAAAAAAAAAAAAACCGAGAAAAGCCTTGTGTGATTTCAGTGTATTTTCTTGTCCTGTGCTATACAATTAAATAAACTTACATAAACCTTTGTAAATGAATGACTCTTCTTTGAACACGCTGCAATCTGAAAACATATATTTTTATTGTTCACACGTCTCATAATCCACACAAAACAGCAGAACATTAAATTAAACATGTCAATATTGGATTTTTTTTTATACAATGAAAAACAGTTTGGGTGAAAAAAAACAAAAAAAACATAAGATTAAAAAAGCTGTACCGGTGGAGTCTTATGTACACGGCTGTAAACGTCTGCTTTGGACTTGATGTTTTAATTATACAGAACATATGCAGAGACGCTAATATAATGCTAATGCTAACGGCGCCTTATTAAGAAGTAATTGGCAGGTCTCGAGTTCAATTAACGAGAAAAACAGTTTTCAGACGAGACGACGGAAATGTGCCTCGAGGAGAAATGGCTTCACAGAGGAAGAAGTTAAAGCTGGGGTCTGTAAATGTTCTCAAATATGACTGGCTCTGAAAGAAATGCAGAGATGGAGAGAGACGAGAGAGAGACGAGAGAGAGCAGAGAGATACCAAAGAGAGAGCAGAGAGAGACCAGAGGGAGACCAGAGAGAAAAACACGAGAGAGACCAGAGGGAGACCAGAGACAGACCATAGGGAGACCAGAGAGAGACCATAGGGAGACCAGAGAGAGACCAGAGACAGAGACCAGAGAGAGAGACCAGAGACAGAGACTACAAAAGGAGACAAGAGACCAGAGAGAGAGAGAAGAGAGAGACCAGACAGAGAACTGAGACAGACCAGGGAGAGACCAGAGACAGAGACCTGAGAGAGACCAGAGAGAGACCATAGGGAGACCAGAGAGAGACCTGAGAGAGACCAGAGAGAGACCAGAGAGAGACTAGAGAGAGACCAGAGAGAGAGACCAGAGAGAGACCAGAGACAGAGACTACAGAAGGAGACAAGAGACCAGAGAGAGAAAAGAGAGAGACCAGACAGAGAACTAAGACAGACCAGGGAGAGACCAGAGACCTGAGAGAGACCAGAGAGAGACCATAGGGAGACCAGAGAGAGACCTGAGAGAGACCTGAGAGAGACCAGAGAGAGACCAGAGAGAGACCAGAGAGTGACTAGAGAGAGAGACCAGAGAGAGACCAGAGAGTGACTAGAGAGAGAGACCAGAGAGAGACTAGAGAGAGAGACCAGAGAGAGACCAGAGAGTGACTAGAGAGAGAGACCAGAGAGAGACCAGAGAGAGACCAGAGAGTGACTAGAGAGAGAGACCAGAGAGAGAGACCAGAGACAGAGACTACAGAAGGAGACAAGAGACCAGAGAGAGAAAAGAGAGAGACCAGACAGAGAACTAAGACAGATCAGGGAGAGACCAGAGTGAGACCAGAGTGAACGTTATGTTCAGACTTGTTCACAAAATATAACTTTTACAAAACCTTCTGTTGTATAATTCAAGAGGGGAAAAGTCAAGTACCCCAGCTTTAACTTTCAAAAAAGTTAAAGTTTCTGATTTGTTATTAAAACGTGACATCCCAAATCTTTTTGTTGGAACTTTGTGTTTTTTTTAATCAAGCAAAATCTCTCGGTGAATTTTAAACATTTCTCCCCAAAAACTATAAATATATAATGGCACCAAAATAAGTAAAAATCCCCAAATGTCGCAATAAAAATCTGCAAAGACACGTTTCACAAAGCGACAAATAATTCCGTAATAATTCCATCCAAATGTTTCAAGCATTCTCTACAAAACTATTAACAATGTGCAAAGAACAAAACTACTTTAACTGGACTTAAAATCCCGTCAAAAATCATCTTTTCTCACATTTTCAAAAATATTCACTTATTTATCCAGAGACAGAAATGGCTATTTTGGTTCCGTCGTAGAAACAGAAAGGACGAGGGAAAAACACAATTACAAAATATACAGTGGTTTTTTTCTGTCTTTTCGCAATCTTCACAAATTCTTATCGTACAAATTATAACTTTTATCTAAGTGCATTTTTAATCACACTGCAAAAAATAAGACAAAAATGGCTCGAATTTGGCAAAATCTATTTTAATCTGAGCACATTCTGACTGAGTCTTAAAGGAGCAGTGTGTAGAAATGTGGCCAAAAGTGGTACTGCAGCCCCTCCCACTCTCCCTGACTCAGGTTGCCAGATATGCAGACGAATCCAGCTGGGATCATAACAGCTGAATAGACAAGAGTTTTGTCAACAGCAAATCTATAACCAACACCTTTTTCACAAAGATAGAAATCCTGGTTTTATTCCTTGTTTTGTGGAGATTAGCTCCACGCGGTGAGTTCTGGCAACCTGGATCACGGATTTTCTGATTGGTGAAACAGTGTAGGGGGCGGGACATAGAAATGAAAACAATAACAAGATTACTCACATTTCCTGTTCAAATCTTCCTCTAAATGGGCGTAGCCTGGAGGACTAAAGGGGGCGTGAACGAGACTGGGCCGTTTATATAGCTCTGGGCGGGGGGCTGCTGACGTCAGGTCCAACTTCTGTGCCAGTGTTGGCGCCAGATTCAAAATTCAAATGTAGTAATACAGGTCGCCAGCAGATGGCGCCTCACAGACGGTTTTAGGCAGAAAGTCTAACTTTCAACTAATTTGCACCAAAGTGACAAGATTATGACCAGGATATGTAGACAACACTATTGGACACTCATTTATACCGTTTATCAGCAAAAAAAGTGGATTTGAGGGTGAGTTGTCCTTTAATGATGACAGATTAGGGCCCTTTAATGCTGACAGATTAGGGCCCTTTAACTCACTGACTGCCAGGCATTTTCAGATTTGAGAAGTGCATTCTGCCAGCAATTTCAGGTGATTTGACCCAACTTTGAAGTGCCACAGAATATTCATTTTTTAGACGATGTAAACACCAAGGGCACCAAATTAAAGATTCACCTCTCTGCTTTACTCTGAAAAAAACAGTTTGTTTCTACCTCTTACCGTTCTTGCGTTATTTGCCATAGAACAAAGCATACTTTCACCCATAACACCTGGTCTGAGCAAGAAAACAGAGAAAATGAGCTGTATGTAAACAGGAACATATCAAGCAGAAAAGAGACTTTAGATGCATTTTTGCTGCTTTAGTGACAACTCAAAACATCTTCACACTTGTTCCATTACAAAAATTATAAAAACATGACTCTGAAATAATACTTTTGATGGCAAATTGTTGGCAATTTATTCACAGATAGAAAATTTAACTTTCTTCTATACCATCAACCAAAACGTCAAACAACAACAACACAAAGATCAATAAAACTATAGATGTATAAAATAGAATGAAGCATGTGAATTTGAGTGTGTGTGTGTGAATGTCAGTGTGCGAGTGAGTGTCTGTGCGAGTGAGTGTCTGTGTGAGTGAGTGTCTGTGTGAGTGAGTGTCTGTGTGAGTGAGTGTCTGTGTGAGTGAGTGTCTGTGTGTGTGAATGTCTGTGTGAGTGAATGTCAGTGTGCGAGTGAGTGTCTGTGTGCGTGAGTGAGTGAGTGAGTGCGTGTGAGTGTTTGTGAGTGTGTCCGATAAATCATGATCAGGTTTGCTGAACGAATCCGAGGCATCAGTAACAACAGCAGCTGATACGCTGCGAGAGGCGGAAGGTGTGTCTCTGCTCGGGGCTCTTGCTCCGCGCAAATGTAGCTGCAGAGACGGACCTCCACCGGGGTCTCCACTCTCTCCCCTCTCGACCTCACTCACTGATCCGCGAGTCAATCTCTGAAGCAGTGTATACTGCTTATAACTATTCTTTTTTGCCATCACTCTTGCTATACTATCGCTAAACTAGATCTGATCCGTCTCAATGCTACAGTACACTATCATCGCTCTGCTACAGCAGCACGCTCTCCAAAGACCCCACACTCCTCCTCCTTCTCTCCACTGACTTATGACCTCTCCTGTGGTGCAATACTGCATCCTACTGGTGGTGATTTATCATTACAGGTACATTTGCACTATATATCAGTGTTGTGGGTCATTAACAAGGTGCGCCAGACATTACTGCAGTCTCCCGTGTAATAACACGAAAAAGTCGTCTAAGTCGTCTTGGGCAGTGAGCGTTACTATTCAACATGACGAGTTTTGTCGTCATGGGCAGTGAATGAGTTAATGATGACAGATTAGGGCCCTTTAATTATGGGACATGAAAATCTTACATATTTGTCAGAATATGCTCAAATTAAAAACACTGGATTTAAGCATTTATTAGCTCATATTTGTTTATTTTTTGCAGTGTGAGAATGATTCTATGCCAAAGTGCTTAAGATAAACTCTGTCCATCATCTACATTGGAAAAATAGAAATTTGAGGCAGGATTCGCCACATTGTCGACAGAATCGTACTCTTTTTCAGCTCCCATGATAAAATCTTAGACGTACAAAGTCTGTGCTGGTTTTGAGAAAAGTCTGGATCGATAGTTACAAGAATCGTAGGCAAAATATTTAGTACTTCAAATTCCATTCAAGCATAACATGTTCTGAGACGGGGAAGAAAAAGATCAAAAAGCAGAGATTCTCATAAGGCTGTTGAAAAAGTCCATGTCCCAGTTTTTCTCTCTGGGAAGAAACCGCAATATGGAAAAAAATGTATGAAGTGAAATGGTATGTTCGAAATCTCTTCAACATGGCAACTGTTAGAAACTGTTAGCGACTGTTAGCAACTGTTAGCGACTGTTACTGACTGTTAGCGACTGTTACTGACTGTTAGCGACTGTTACTGACTGTTAGCGACTGTTACTGACTGTTAGCAACTGTTAGCAACTGTTAGCGACTGTTAGCAACTGTTAGTGACTGTTAGCAACTGTTAGTGACTGTTAGCGACTGTTAGCAACTGTTAGCGAGCGACTGTTAGTGACTATCAGCAGCTGTTAGCTACTGTTACTGACTGTCAGCTACTGTTAGCGACTGTTAGTGACTGTTAGCAAAAAAATAAAAAATAAAAGGAAGTCATGCCGTTAGTAACCGTTAGCGACTGGATAGCATTAGCTCCAGGAGAAAAAACTAGTGTTTTTTGTGTTTTTGAATCAATATTTTATGACAGGTCCTGATTTCTTTCAGCCCAAACTTAGTCCTCTTTCCTTGCATCCTAAAGATTCACTTTTACCTTTTTAAAAGCCATTTCCAGTTAGTTTTACCATCAAGATTCTACCAGTAAAATGTTTTCCACAATACTGACAAACTAAATGTTTAGTTTTCATCAGAAAAAGAGTTTTGGAAGTATTTGTACATGTACATGTTTAGTCTTTGTAACATATATATTCTTTAGTTTTCTGTATCTAGATTATTTTTATGTCATAGTGTAGAAAATGTATTATCTTATATTTTTCAAATTTGAGAGTTACGAGTTACCGTGGCAACACACAGCTAGCCAGTCAGTTGGCTTTAGCATTTAGCCTTTGTTATATTATAAGTTATAATCACCAGTTTTAGCACTTTTTTTAATGAACCTGGTATTTCTTAGAATACCATTGGTCTCTAATGGAAAACCAAAGTGGACCAGTCCAGAACCAGCACAATGAACTGGGACTTTAGCCACCATAAAGTTCGTTACCAAACAACCAAAAGTTACTAAATTTGTAATTTTTTTTGAGACCAAACAGGAGATAAATAAGTTACATTGCCCTGGGAGTTGTTAAAGGGGATGTACAGTGGTAAAATGGAAGCCTGGTTGAAGCTGTTTAAAGGGGATGTATACTGGTATGGCGTTAGCCTGGATTAAGCTGTTTCATGCTAAAGGGGATGTACACTAGTATAATGTAAGCCAGGTTAAAGCTGTGTCAGGTTAAAGGGGATGTACACTGGAATAAGGTTAGCCAGGTTAAAGCTGTGTCAGGTTAAAGGGGATGTACACTGGTGTAAAGCTAGCCTGGTTGAAGCTGTGTCATGTTAAAGGGGATGTACACTGGTAAAACGCTGCGTCATGCTAACAGCTGGTTATAATGTTATGCTCGATGCGTTTAGCTGTGGGCCTCGATGACCTCCAGGTGGTCCGGGATGGGCAGACCGGTCAGGATGGTCAGACACTTGTTCCACACGTTGAAGACGGGACACACCGGCTGCACGAAGGACACGGTGAAGGTGTGCAGGTGCTGGGAGCCCACCGCGTCGTAGAAGCTAACGTAGCCGGCGTCGTAGTCCAGCAGGACCCCCACGCGCCGCAGGTGGGGGGAGGGCTCGATGGCCAGCTCTTTACTGTTGTGCCGGACCGCCCACGCGTTGTTGCAGCGGCAGAGAACCCACGACGACAAATTCTTCCCAATCCACTCGTGCTTCGGCGCTGATTTGTAGGCGATTCCCACGGCGTACCTGAAAACACAGGTTTAGTGGTTTACTCGACCATTGGGTAGATCTCCTTTAAGTCTCTATATGAACTTGGAGCTTGGATTTGAAATGTTTCTTCTTTAAGGCTCTTTAACCATCGAACCACATCTCAACCATTTGGTAAGCACTGCAGAAAATGATGAAAAACAATCCCAAAGTAACTAACATTTGGCTAAATTTATCTTAATTTAAGCACATTCTGACTGTGTTCAAACAACATTCTCCAATGGGACAAACCCGTTTCTTCTGATCTCAAGAACTTTCCTCATTCCCACTTTTGTGAATTTTTCTTTGCTTTGAAGGCACAGTCAGAATGTGCTCAGATTAAGACACATTTTGCCAAATTTGAGAGATTTTTCACTTATTTTTCATTACTTTTTGCAGTGCGGACACATCAGAAGTCTCTCGCTGACAATAACAAATCCTTCAGTATTTTCATTGAGACAATCTTTATATATTTTGGTTATCTAAATTCTTTGTCAAAAAGGAGAACATGAACACGGACATAACAGACAAAAAAACATATACACCCACACATACATAGAGTAGATACACACGTACATACACAACCACACATACTGTATATACATATACAAACACACACATATACACAAATACATACATATACACACATACCGTACATACATAGAAACACACATACATATACACACACACAATATACACAAAACATACATATACACACATAAATATACACAATACATACATATATATATATATATACACACACATACATACACACACATAGATACACACACACACACATACATATACACACATACATACATATACACACATACATATACACACATACATGCATATACACACATACATATACACACATACATGCATATACACACACATACATATACACACATACATGCATATACACACATGCATACATATACACACATACATACATATATACACACATACATACATATACACACATACATATACACACATACATATACACACATACATGCATATACACACATACATGCATATACACACATACATATACACACATACATGCATATACACACATACACACATATACACACATACATATACACACATACATGCATATACACACATACATATACACACATACATGCATATACACACATACATACATATACACACATACATATACACACATACATGCATATACACACACACATGCATATACACACATACATGCATATACACACATACATGCATATACACACATACATACATATACACACATACATATACACACATACATATACACACATACATATACACACATACATATACACACATACATATACACACATACATACATATACACACATACATATACACACATACATACATACATATACACACATACATATACACACATACATACATACATATACACACATGCATACATATACACACATACATACATACATATACACACACACATGCATACATATACACACATACATATACATACATACATATACACACATGCATACATACATATACACACACACATGCATACATATACACACATGCATACATACATATACACACACACATGCATACATATACACACATACATATACATACATACATATACACACGTACACACATACATATACACACATACACATACATACATACATATACACACATACATATACATACATACATATACACACACACACACATACACACATACACACATACATACATACATATACACACATACATATACACACATACATATACACACATACATACATACATATACACACATACATACATATACACACATACATATACACACATACATATACACACATACATACATATACACACATACATATACACACATACATATACACACATACATACATACATATACACACATACATATACATACATACATATATTCTACATCAAGAGACATACATAATCTCAATGTAGCTCTAATTAAAAAAACATCTAAGCAGCTTACTTGATCCTATAACTTACCTTGTAAACTTGTCAATACAAACAAACACTTTCCCACAGAGCTGGAAGATTGCTGTAATCACTCCAATTTATAAGTCAGGCGACAAAGACCAAGCCTGCAACTACAGGCCTATTTCCATTCTTCCTGTAGTTTCCAAAGCGCTGGAAAAAATTGTAGCTGAGCAATTAATAGAACATCTTGAAAATAACCAACTGTTGCATCCCCAGCAGTTTGGGTTCAGACAAAAATACAGCACAGAAACAGCCAACTGCTTTTTGTTGGAACAGATCAAAGGTTCACTGGATAAAGGGAATGTCGTAGGCGCTGTGTTTTTAGATCTGAAGAAGGCCTTCGACACAGTGGACCATTGCATCTTATTGCAGAAATTACAGCAATTTCAATTTTCAGCTACAGCTCTGTCATGGTTTGAGTCCTACCTGGAGGGTAGAGAACAATGTGTGAAAGTAGGAAGCGTTAAATCCACCCTGAGTCCAAATGACTTAGGAGTGCCTCAAGGGTCAGTCCTAGGACCGTTGCTGTTTTCAATGTATATAAATGATCTCCCAGATTGCTGTCAGGGTGTAAACTGCCAGCTTTATGCTGACGACACAGTTATTCATGTGTCAGCAAAAACATCTGCACTGGCTGGGCAGCTGTTAACACAGGCTTCACATAACATCTCAAGATGGCTTCAACTGTCCCATTTAACTTTAAATGTAAAGAAAACATTCTCAATATGTTTCTCTATCAGCCGGAGGTCCCCTGACAGCACCTTTGAGGTTCAATTAGAACATGAACCCATTCAGGAGGTTCATGAAACAAAATACTTGGGCATTATCTTAGATAAACACCTGAAGTTCCAAAGTCAAGCAAATAACGTCTGCAGGAAAGTCAAATCAAATCTGAACTGTTTTCGTTTTATAAGAAGAGAGTTATCACATCACGCGGCTTTATTGTATATGCATGCAATGGTTTTTTCACATCTGTCATACTGCATTACAGCATGGTCACAAACATCGGCATCCACTCTGAAACCAGTCACCTCTCTGTATAAACAGGCAATTAAGATATTCGACAAGAAACCTTTGAGATGGCATCATTGTGATATCATACAAAAGCACAAGCTTTTTACTTTTGAAAACTTTATAAATTTTAGTATAATGAAATTGACTTTTAAATGTCTGAACAACTGTGTGTCACCACTGTTCTCTGGCCTCATGGTGAGGTTTCAGGGCTCTCTCAGACCCTCCACCAGAGCCTCAGTTAGCGGGGATTGTGTGCTCCCAAAGTTTAGAAAATCTTTTGGACAGTCGAGACTTCTCCTTTAGAGGGGCTACACTGTGGAACTCTCTCCCCACTGCACTGAAACTGCAGAATAATATCAACATCTTTACCAGAGAGCTTAAACAGTGGCTCAAATCGGGCCAAACTTGTTCCCATGTTTAAAACATGTCTTATCTTGTTTAATAATGTGTTTTATTGTAACCTTGTTTCCTAATGTGTTTTATCTTTGTAACCTAAAAGCCCCCTATGGACAGGTGTTGAAAATTAGCACTTGTGCTATAACACTTTAAACAATGCATCTGGTTCGTCCAATGTTAATTGCTATGTCCATATTAAATAAATAAATAAATGAAATGAAATATACACACATACATACATACATATACACACACACATGCATACATATACACACATACATACATATACACACATACATACATATACACACATACATACATATACACACATACATACATATACACACATGCATACATATACACACATACACATGCATACATATACACACATATATACATATACACACATGCATACATATACACACATACACATGCATACATATACACACATATATACATATACACACATGCATACATATACACACATACACATGCATACATATACACACATATATACATATACACACATGCATACATATACACACATACACATGCATACATATACACACATACATACATATACACACATGCATACATATACACACATGCATACAT